GCTGTAGGAGATGGAGATGAGAATGTTGAGAAGAAGGGGTGCATTCTAGTGGTTGATTAATAACCAGGGTAGGTGGTTCGGAATAGATAGATGTCAGTAAATGTCGAGGAAGGGGTATTATTATCAGTGGTCGGAGCCGTGGTCAGAGGAGGGGCAGGGGTCAGAAAACCATCAAAACCCAATTCAAATAGGCTAGTTGATGAATGGGCAAGCCTTAATGCCCCTATTCAGGGTAAAGAATCTTCATTATTGGCCATGGAATTAACCAAAGGAATACCATGCACATGGTTCATGGAGACCATTCATGACTGATAAAAAGCCAGCCTTTCATTCTTTCAGCACAGCTCTCATGCCTTTGGAATGCAACAGAAGAAGGGGTTGAACATATGGAAGATGAAAGAGGGAGAATGTTTAATGTTTAATGTTTGAAACAAATAAATGTGCTAGACTTCAAAGGTCATATAGTACTATGGCAAAGTATTACGTTGGAAATGTTAATGAAAAGTTAAAGATTAGGATAAAATGTGTTAGATATCACAGATTAGAGAGCGTTCCAAGATTATATGGTAGAAGGGAAGTAAGTGAACTGGAGCAGAGATTAGTAGAAAGGGGAGGGTTAAGGGGATAGAGTGACAATGAATTACAGTGTATCTGTCACTGGGGAAGGAATTGGGACATAGTTCAAGGAAAACAGAGGTGGCTGTTATAAAAGTAGGAGGATAAAAATGAGAGGGTCAGTGGAGGGAACTTGAGGAGGAGGATGGATATCTGCAAATACTTTAAATGTAGAAGGATTAGGAACAGAGGGATTGGGGGGTGGAAGTGGAGTGTTTCCTTGAGTCATCTTTAGGAAGTTTTGGATGTCTTCAAGGGTTTCTGGAGGGGAGTTGGGTGAAGAGGACTCAGAAACAAAGGTTGTCTTATGAGGAGGAGAAGAGGAGATACATATCTAAGGAGCAGAAGAAAAGGAAGGTTTAGGAGAGGGTGGATTGGAACATTTAGGTTGCCTGGTGTGACAAATAAAGTGAGAAGGTGGGTAGGTATCAGGGAAGTGGTAGAGATTGGAGTATCTGGATTTAGACTGGAAAACAAAGTTGATTGAGGGATAGGGTGAGTAGACATAAGATGGTTTAGGGTATAAGGAAGAGATACTGGGGAGATGCAGAAACATCTTGTGAAGATGGTGGAGGAACTGAGCAAAGGACTGTTTTGGAATAAGCTGAGATAGAAAAACCTCTTTGTTATGCTTGTCTGGCCTCACATAGAGAGAGGACTAGTTTGAATCTGAGGACTGCTACCTCACATTTGAGCTTATAGGCAGGGCAACTCCTACAAAATACATTATGGGTCTCCACAATTGGCACATGTATGTGACTGAGCAGGGCAATTTGTACAGTCATGACCAGGTTGGGCACATAAAGGGCAGTGGGCTGTGGAGCAACTGTGTTTGGCTGGGTGGCCAAAACACCAACATTTCTGACATTGATGAGGAAGGAGTGGATAAGGTCAGGCATGGTAGGACAATCCACCAAAACCAACTTCATGAGGAGGTCATATCTACGGAAGCTTATCTTGGCAATATTGATATGGGACTTCCGTTGGCCTCTGGAGGAATAGTGTAGTACTGTAATAACAATGCTCATAATCAGCAAGGCAGGAGAGTAGGTCATTTTCACAGTTTGGCCAGTCCTAACCGTAGATAGGACAAGCATTTTGGGGATACAAACAGTTCCAGTACAAGTATTAACCCATCAGCGACGGGTAAAATTTTTGTCAAGTTTACGTATGCACCGGCAGTTTCCCGTTTGCGCCCAGCTCGATTGGTAGTTTGCGAGCGACATATAGCACATAAAAGCTTTTATTTTGCTAAAATTTATAAAAATATTAAAATTTTGAAGGTTTACCTTCACTTTAGGTGCCATTGCCTAAAATCTTTACCATACAAATGAAGCCGCTACTAGTGGAGAAAATCAACCTCCGTCCGACGAGCCAGTAGCGCGCGAATGGGCATGGCATGATGCCCCCGGTGTTTGGTCCAGAACAGCCATGGCATGTACGTACGTGACACCCGGCCCAATGGGTTAAGAAGGGTGAGGTTTGGCAGGAATGGGTTTGCCAGTGAGGTCAGTTAGGACAGATAGTGCATGAGCTTGGGATTCAGATGTAACTGTGACAAGGTGTGAATGATCAGAGCGACTGCGAAAGGTAACCTTGCCTACTGTTTTTTGGAGGCACTGTTGAAAGAGAAGGATCTTCTCAGAATAGGGGGCTGTGGGGGGAATCACAAAGAATCGATCCTACTTGGCTGGAACAAAGAGAGTACTCAAAAGGTTTGTAGAAGTATAGACATTAGAAGGATGAGGACAAGAGGACGATAGGGTGGTGTAGAGTGAAGTAGTTCTTTAGGGGGGAGGACAATAATGATGAAAAGTAGTAATAAGGGAAGAGGGGGTAGACATTGAAGAGGACCGTCCAGTACGAGATGGAGAGGAAATGTTGGGAGAGAAAGGGGTGCTTTCTGGGGGTTGAGTAATAACCTGGGTGGGAGTTTTGGAATGGTTAAAGTTGTCAGTAAGCGTGGAGGAGGGGGTATTTGTATCAGTGGTCGAAGCCATGGTCAAAGAGGGGGTAGGGGTAAGAAAATCATCAAAATCAAATTTAGATAAAGGGAAAAGCCTTAATGCTCCTATTAAAGAAAAGAAAGGTCTACCCCTTAGCCAATTAACCAAGGGAATACCAAGCCCATGGCTCCCGGAAGCCATTCATAATTGACGCAAAGACAGCCTTTCATTCTTTCAGCATAGCTCTTACACCTTAGGAAAGAGATAGAAGGGGATGAAGAAGATAAGGAAGAGTAAAGGGGGAGAAGAAAAGACCAAGCAAAATTAGTTGAAGCAAGGGCTGAGGCCCAAGGCAGAGGTGATCCCCTACATTGGGCCTCAGTCTCCATCTCCTAAGCCCTCCCTCAACAATGAGCAAGGGGAAAGGGGGAGAAGAAACGACCATGCAAAACTAGTTGAGGCGAGGGTTGAGGCCCAAGGTAGGAGCGACCCTCTACACTAGCCCTAAGGAGGGAGAGTATAATTTAGCAACTATCATATTCTGTATAAATATAAATAATATATATATATATATATATATAATATATATAATATATATATATATATATATATATATATATTAATAAAACAAGGTAAAAAAAACAAATGAAACAAACTCCACCTTTCTTTCCTTTATTTACGAATAGTTACAATAATAATTATACAATGAAAAATATATCTGT